TTAAACAATAATGGATTTAGTGTCAAAGTTGTTTCAAATACAATTTTGTACTTACATGCATGTTTATTCTCGATGAAAAAAGACGTCCAAACCAAATCGATGGAAATACTTATGGCCCTGTTATAAAGTTTGCTAGCCAGTAGTTTATGGCCAGTGTGGTTCTTAATCAGTTTAGAGAATACTTAATGCTGTTAAAATTACCCTAAACCAATCAGAGACAGAGTTCACATGGCTTTGTTAATTAACAACCATCACTGAATACGAAACGAGCTTATCAGGATTCGTTTACATGCACATCAGAAGACGTTATAAACCGTATATTCTTAATTGTATTTGTTATTTTGCGAGGGGTTGTCGTTTAAGTACACGTTTTTCAAAACATCAATTTGGAAAAGTTAACTGTCGTCTTTGCTTATGGGTCTCGACAATAGGCATGAGCAAAAACGCATGAGCAGTATGTGGTCTTTGGGAAATACTAAGATATACTTGTAAATCCTGCCTTGAAAAGCATTTTAATTCCATATTAATGATTAATTAATTATCACTTTAATATAAACAATCAATGGCTCTTACCCTAAGCTTTTCAARATAGCTTTTCGGATAGGTGTGTTTCGTATTTATGCCAACGATATACGGCAATGAAAGCGAAGAATTGCTGCGCGCGCAATTTCCAAGTGGTTTTGCAAAAAGCACAAAAGTCAACATGTACGATTGTCAGCCAAAACCATGTAAAAAGGTCTTTTATTCATACAACTCTTTTAGACTCAGTTTTCTTTCCTTTTTTTTTTTTGCGCTATATTTAACTAATAGCCGATTTGCATTATGGCGTCATTTACTACAACTACCAGAATGCTTTGCCCACTTTCTTCTGTAATGCAATTAGTGCCAATTGTTTTACTAATCGCTAAGGGGATTAAAAATCTGAATAACAAAGAAAATGCGCAAGGCTTTCTGGTAGTTGTAGTAAAGTTACGCCATCATGCAAATGGCCTATTGATGTATGATAATTGTTCTGAATTGAATTAACGATAAGAGTCAATCCATGGTCCTACACAGCTAAATTATTACTGTCTAGATATTTAGCAATAAGTGGGTTAAGATAAGTTAGGATAAAGGGGCAAAAGCGAATCTAGATTTTTTTTATCTTTTTTTGGTTTGTACTGACAAGCAAAGAAGCGGCTGATTCACGATGAGCTGGGTTGGGTATGCAATTCCCTTTCGAATGGCAAGGGTTTGCTAATGCAAATATTTGAATTAACCAGGAAACACTGAATCACCTACATTGAGCAATTGCACTAATGTGTAATGAATTTTTAATAAATAATGCGCGATATTGATATTATACATGTACTATTTTGTGCTATTTCATCATTTTTATTCCAGTCGACGAGCTAATATCCGGTCATATATGACGAGATTGATTCTTATTGGTTTCRACATACATATGCATTTCAAAAAWATGTCATTAATAAAAAAAGAAGTTGTCGYTCGTTTAGCAGAAAGACTTGTTAGCCGTGTMTTGWTTAWGGAATGTCGACTTATTTTTGGTGATTTTTATGTAAAATAGCTTTAAATTAACAATAAGAGTTGCAGGTATTATTGAGATCTGGTTCTCATATATTGTATAAGATTGGGYAAAGGAATCAAAATGATAATAAGCGTAGTGGACGACACTTTTAACGATGACGTCATATGACTACCATAATGCTTTGCAACTTTCTATTGTCAGTGAGCAGTCCAAATTGAATTAACAATCTGAATTGCAAAGAAATTACGCAGAGCATGCTGGTAGTTAAAGTAAAATGACGTTATAATGCATATTGAAGATATATAAATATGTCTTTGTATTTGGAAAAATATGGAAAGGACATCTTGTGTTCATGAGGAATTCCTGGGAAATGATCAGCCAATCTTATATCTACTCAATGTGTAATTTCCTAAGATCTATATCATAGAACGTTAGCGTTATAACCAAAATGAAGATATCTGAGTGTACTCTTCTTGTGTCGTTGTCTTTGTCGGCTCAAAGTTAACTTTACTTGGCTTTGGAATCCTACAATGAGCAAAAAGATATGAGTGAGAATATAATATATATAATGGGGTCCGAATATCAATATGTATTGTGCATAGTTTTTTTTTTTGTTTTTGGAGAATATGGTTCTCTTAGTTTTTTTTCCTTAACATGGATTTCTTTACTGAATATGCAATTCCAATTATAAAAGGTACTTTAAAAGATAAAACTGCTGCGCTTTTYTACATATACGGTCTCTTTATAACAAATCCTCTTTATAAACAAAGTGTGTCCATGTATTTTGATTGTGCTTAGTTATGATCATCGGAAATCTCTCGTGGAAGATCGAAAGGAATTGTGTGGGCATATATTATTTATCATGCTAGCATTGTATCTTAAAAACACAAGAGAAAAATCAGTTTAAATTCATTGTTACTTATTCAGTATCCAAAATGCCTATCGTATCAGAGGGACCATTTCCATGTGAGCTGAGTTGAGGTGCAAATTAATGTACTACTGTGATATATACATCGTTAGTGTTAGTGATTAAAAGTTTTCAGCAAGATTTCTAGAATAGAAGTAGAATATTGTTCACTTTCACCTTAACATCGTCGGTGCTTTATGACCTAGAAGACAGGAGCTTTGTGGATCCGGTAGATGGGCTGTTGTTATGATGAATTAGTCATGATCAATACCTGTATTGGACTGTCCGCCCAGCGAACTTCTTGATATGAGAGACAATGTGACTGATGATAAGTGATTAGGCTGGAGCATGTAAAGGATAAAGTAATGGGACATGAAGACAGTCCCAAAATAATTGCATGAAAATAGGGCGCTGCTGCTGACAGGAGGGAACACATATGAACGACCAAAAAAGCATGTACTTTGAAGAATGAATAAATAGAACCAGAACACTGTTATAGAGAAATGAAAACAATATTGTAGGAACGGGTGTTTGTAGAACACATTGAAAGAAATGAATGATTGCAGAACATATAACAACACAGGAATATGAACGACAGAGACAGTAATAGAGACTATTGAGAACAGTTGTACAGCAGTACAAAAAAGGAGAACACTGTTGCAGGGATGAAAGAGGGACAACAGAGTTTAGAACAATGGCACAACAATCAAGAAGAATGAATCAAGGGCGAAAATGAGAGAYAAAATGAATGCATTGATTGATGACTTGATGGGTGAATTGGTTAGTCTTAGTCTGGATTATTAAGAATAGTCAAAGAATTGGCGACCTAGTTCCAGGCCCTTATCCATTCGCTTGTGRTTGAAATGATAAGGACCTAGGGACAAGGTAAAAATATTAAAAAGTAGAAATCAATTAACGAATATRCAGTAATTAATATGCTGTTATAGAAAATAAAACAGTTTTATTTAGTAAAAAGGCATGCAAGATCGCTCAGTTTGACCAGTTTGAAAATTCTAAATCTAATAAATTCATTCCTCTTTACTAAACACAAATGTTCTATTAATTCTATGACAACATTTTTTACAATAAGTTATAAATAAGAAAATATTAATGAAAGGTAATTRAAGAATGTGATCAAATTAATCACGAAAGTTAGTAAAGAGAATTTAATGAATACACCTATAGATATCTATAGATTTTAATTAAAATGATATTAACAATATGTGGTTATTTGTATCTGAATGCATATTCACGTCACATAAAATACGCATGGATTCGTATGCATGGTAGTCATTAACGGAATATTCACTGCAACCCTGCCCGTTTTATTATGTGATATCTCATACATATACATTATACCAGTTATCTGAAAAGAATTGACCTTAGTTTATATTCATTAAGATATTTACAACGTTAAGTTTGATCTTTGATGGCTCTTTATCAATTTATAGCCTTTTTTCACATAAATAAGCTAAGACGACCATGATAGCGATAGTCCTGGCAGTCATTCAATGATAACCTGAAAGTTTAGAGAAATAAGATATATTGACTCGATTCAATTTTACATCCTCCTCGATTCCTCATGCAATGGTAGTTCTTGTGGTCAGCGTCAGTGTTAGAATCCGTTGCTGGGATACCGTAATGAGATCATTTCACTGTACGATTAAAAAGAACCATGTTTATTGAGACTGAATGTCTAAATTTCTCTATTATTTATGGTTAACACCTACAATTAACCTGTTAGATATTACAACATTATTTTTTATTCTTTCTATGAACCGGGTTTAATATCATCAGTTATTGTCTAAGTCATACGAAAGGGGCTTCATAMTCTAGTAAGGACTTAAGATATTTGTAGCTGTTTTTGCCACTGTTGTCTATTCAAACAGTTTATCGCCATTTTTTTAAACCGAACATCGACAATTGTTTAGGGTCAGCGACGCCATTTTGTGTTGCTTGGCAGCATGTTTAAAATTCCTATCGTTATTTTGGGTTAGTAATATTAATTTATTTTAATTATGGCAGACCCTTTTAAAATAATAAAGTTGTTACATTTATCGCAATATGAAATCCACAGTAATTAAAATTAACRTAACCAAATTCTGATTAATTCATTAAAATATCATTAGAGCCATTAAATTGYTGTCTTACTAAACTGAACAGGGCTGCTTTTTCATTTTTTTTAACCATCCCTAGTAGCWTAAAACTTTGCAAACGAAAATAATTTTTTAACGAGTTTAACGGCAAATCCTATAAATTAAGCGGGTAAGCGCTTTGAAGTAGCTAAAAMTGCCAAAAATGCAGATTAATATTAAAACAAAAAGAGAAAGACAAAAATAGAGATTGAAACAACAATGCCGATCGAAAATAATTAAAAACCACTCGGCTGTTCTGTATCAATACTCATAAACGCGGTAGTCGCAAAGCGCTTTGACCTTGTACGTGGAATCTTCTCTGATCTTCTACCACAGCACACGGCCTTCTTAAAACCTCTTCGAAACTGTTCACTGAAGAAATAGTAGAGCATTGGATTGATACAACTGTTCAAGAACACCAGCACCACAGAGTATGACTGCAAAATCCAGAAGTACCTGGAAAAATGCATTCATATGTTACAATGTGCGAAAGAGGAACTGCTACAGCTGCATGACTAGACTTGCATGACTAGACTCTTAAATTTGTTCTCATTTCAGAATGACATTAACGAGCGTCCAAACAGAATGCATAATTCTTTACTTACGCCCGTTTACCCTCTACCTATCCCATAAATCTTTTGGATTTCTAATAATTCGCAAATCACACATCTAGATTATTTTATAAAAGCCTTTTCGAAGTTGATTTTAGATATGTAGTTGCATGCTATTATTTTGTGATATTCTGAAATGAATCTTTTCATTATACGCTTGTATTCCTATCTTATGCACTTGTTATCGGCTTCCATGAGAAGACGATGATTTTCCTACCATGGCCAGAAAATCCGGACATTTGAGCCCACAATCGCAGCGGTACTTCGCATAAATGCATAAAAACATGTTTGTAAATTTTACAAAGAAATGTATGGATCAAAAATATTTGAGAATAACATGAGAATAACCTAGATGAATTTCGTAGAGGGAAACTATTCTTGATTCCACTTTACGAAATCCAAATAAATCCAATATCGTTGACAGCGTCCTTTTTGACAATTTATTTTCCTTTCGTCGTCTCCCTTTGGCCTTGTATCTCATGGTGAAAATTCGCGAAGAAGCGAAATTTCACCGTGGCTGATCGTGTTCCTTTACATGTCACTGATATTCCATAGATCATTTCTCAAAGTCCACATATTGAGGTAGGAACACAGCGATTTTCAGCTATTTTGAAGACGATCAACAGCGTCCTTTTTGGTACTAGAAATCGTACAATTTGAAAACAMWAACTTGACCCTGAAATGGCTGGCGAAGACCCGTGTTTCACGCGAATAATCGGCCTCGATCTTCCATTTTCTTTTCATTTTATACGCCATGTTTGGTATAAAATAAACCTTAGAAACGTGGCTTTCAGACTGGGACTGCTTTAATTTTGGTGG